TTTAATTTGTTTTTTGTTTAATTGCAAAAAAATTTTTTGAGTGCATTTTTCCTAGAAAAACCGTTGAGATCACAAGCTAGTTCATTACACATGTATTGGCGTTAATGTGATCTCACTTTTGATCGCAATCTCTATTCCTTGCGTTTATGTAATGAATATTGAAAAATGCATTGAAAGCCTGTGTCAAGGCTTACCATATCTTAATCAAAATATTTTTATTTCAATGCTTTATAAAACATAAATTCACATTCATTTCAATTATTTATTTAGTTTCTTAAGAGATACACGCTTTTTAAATGTGAATTTCTGTTAATAGTCTATAAAATTTAGTCGAAAATAATTGCTTAAAAAGTTTTTAATTCATAAGAAAGAAGAGAGATTTGAATGCAAAAAATCACATCTATTTTATTGAATAAATTTTGAAGTTATGATCAAATAATACAAAAAACAAATCGTTTGAAATGAATGAGCGATTGGTATAATGAAACGGATTGTTGTGTTTGTGTCAGTGGTTTGTTGTGTCCATTGGATTCAGAAGGAGTCCATGGGTTGAGCGGTTCCCACACAGTGTCTGTAGAGGACATATGCGGTGACAATTGCAGAGCACGTGAACCCAATTCTGTCGATTGTCTCACGACTCACATAACGCAGGAGTAATCTGTCGTCCGATTCACTCGCCATCACTTCTCCAGAGATTGTCTCTCAATGTATGGACACAAATATGTCTTCAAATAAATCTCGATTTTCAAACTCAATGAACGGCTCAACGATTTTGGCGTTTATAACACTTTTAACGATTTAAACACATTTCAAAATTTGTTCATTCGGTTTGGTATTATTTAAGTCTCGTTTTGATTATAATTAAATGTTTTGTTTTTTAATTTCAACTTAAAATATTGTTTCATAAGAAATGCTGAAATAGTTTTTATTTTTTGATTAAATTAATATAAATTACGTTAAATTCACAGAATTTTAAATGATAGATAAATTTATCAAGGTTTTTATTTTTTTAAATCTAAAGATTGATATCCAAGAATCACAGACTATAACTCATACTTTTTACCCTATTATTTAATCAATTTTTTTGACAAAAATATATAATTTAATCCTAATATTAATCTACTTTTTTATGTCTTCATAAGTGAGTTCTCTTCAAAAACTGGTCAATCAATTGGGCTCTTCTGAGGACACCATTTCATTTCGCAACCAATTGTAAGTGTATTTTGTGATCAATTCTTGAAAATCATGTTTAAAAAAAATAATAATAAAATCAATTGAAAGGCAAACACTTCAACAGCAAACCAATGATTTGGCGAAACAATGCAATATCGATATGAGACAACTAACCATACAATGCCATACATCGGATCAATTTCAAAATGTAATTACTGTAAACATATTATTTGTGACAAAAATGATTTAAATATAGCATTGAATTGAATCGACAGAAAGAGCGCAAAATCTTATGCGAAAGAATACGAAGCGATTTCTTGGATATTCTCAACAAATTTCAAGAAACTCAGAGAATCGCCGCTCAAAGAGTCAAAGAGTTTACTGTTAAACACACCAAACATGAGCGCAACGCTAGCGTATGAATGCATGAAACATTAAACTCAATAGAAATTGAATTGACATTTGTTTTTACTGTTAAAGAATCCCATTTTTGGTACCGAAGAGTTTGATTTCGAGTCGACGACCCTTTCGTTCAAAGAGGAGACCTTCGGTCCGACACAGACACAGATGGTTGAGATGGAGAACGAGAGGAATAATTTAGAGTTGGCTCAACAACAACACGAGTCCGTCAAACGTCTCGAGTCAGACATACAAGACGTGAATCAAATATTTCAAGAGTTGGCGAAAATGGTTTACGAACAGCAGGAAGTGGTCGATCACATCGAGACTAATGTCGTGTCGGCACAGATTCAGGTCGAGGGCGGCAATCAACAGCTCAGAACTGCCGCTGAATATCAGGTAATGAATTCAGTTATAAGTTTAAGGTTTTAATGTAATTGTTTTTTTGCCATTAATGTAGCGAAAGGCCCGGAAGAAGAGATTATGGATTATTATTATATTTGTGATTATTTTGGTTATTCTCACTCTTATTATTTATTTCTCAGTCAAAAAGTAATTTTGTTATTGTTATTGATCACAATGTATGTAAATTATATACGGTATATAAATTAATGTTTAAGTTTTGTTTGTATTTTTTTCAGTAAAATTTTTATTAACTCAAATAATTTCTATTTTGATTACCGGTAAATAAAAACAAATGCCAAAAATGATCTCTTAATCAATAAAAATTAGATTTATTCAAAAATTACAAATTGAAGTCAAATTAAACACATTTTTCTTAAAATACAAAATATATTTTTGTATTACCGGTAAAAGTGGATTGAATTAAAAGTCAATGAATTATAAGTAAAAGTTAAAACATAAATCTTAAATATTATTATAAATGCAATGAATGTAAAAGAATTGTGAAGTGGCGAAGAGAAGTGGTAAGAAGTGGTAAGAAGTGGCAATTAAACGATAATACAGTGACCATTGGTGTGAAGGATGCGAAACTCAGTGCAGTCGGCGAAATGGATTTTGACGCCTTTAATCCGGATTACATTCACCACTTGTTTCTCGAACTCAACCTTTTGGACCGAAAAACAAATTTCTTCCGATTTGTCGACTAAACGGATCCAATTATAGCTGGCATTCAATACGTCGATCACATAACTATAGCCTCTGTTATCTCTATCCCAGAGATGAAACTCAAACGAGTCGATGAGAAAGGGTTGGTTCAAAGTAATCACAATCCCTCTGTCGGACGACATGAGATGGGAATAGTATTTCTCATTAGTGGGTCCATAGATGCTGTCGTTCATGAATGAGTAGATGTGTCGACTCACGCACTGTTTGATCCAAAAGGGTGTCACCAGAATATTGTCCACTCTTTCCACCCGTTCCTCTCGGCTCTCGTATAGACACGAGAAAGCGGTGATTGAATTGAAGGCAAAATTGACGGTTGAGTCCCACGAGTGCTTATATGTGCCGCGAATGCGAAACATTTTGGCCACAATCGGCTCAAAGTGTAACTTCTGGTCGAAGTCTGTCATATATCGCGAGTAATCGATAAGTTTCTTCCAGTGATTCCCTTCGGCCGAGTATTCAATCTCATAAGAGAACTGCTCCTTCTCTTTGGCCGCAAACGACATATAAATGTAGTTTATATTCAATGGAAATCCAAATGCGATGATAATCGGCCACTCGTTTGACGGATCCATTGTCGTCAAGTCTGTGGCCTTACAGACGCCTACACTTCCTTTAATCACTTCAAACCCAAACTGTTTGTTAGAAATGATTTTATCCATCAGTAGAAGCGCTCTGTTTTTGATGCCATTGTTATCCTTAAGATGATCGTTGATCTCTGCTCTCAGTTTCATCGTTTGCCACACCTTTTGCTGTGAGACTAATCCACTTTTAAAGACCAAATCCATGAGATCGTTGTATTCAATGAATGGCAAACGAATGCATTGAATCAATTCCTTCGCTCTATTGGTGTCCACTTTGTTCTTCTCGATGTAGTCCTTCGCCAACGAGAAGAGATTGATCTCCGAAACCGCCAGCGATTCTCTCATTAATACAGTCTTCACTGAATCGACAGATATCTTGAAGAAGTGATCAGACGGTTGACGACAAACGTTGGGATAAGTGTCCAAATAATTGAGACACACTTTGGAGATGAAGGACCCGAGACGTGCCTTCATTGATAAGTCCAGTATTGGCCACACATTTGATTCGTCTATTAATGGCCCGATTTTCGGCATTATGTACTTCTCGAGACTCTGAAACTGGAAGCGCTGAATGAGTACTGTTTTAGACAAAAAAGAGAAAACAATCATTCAATTAAAATGATAATCGAGAGCAACGAGAGTGAGAGAGAGAGAGAGAGAGAGAGAGAGCGGTCGTATAAGAATCCGAAGTAATGAAGGGATATATGGATCCGATTATAGAGATGAGTGGTTGGACTTTAAGCTGTGGACTCATATGAGTAAATGTGCCGATCG